AAAGTTACAAACCGAAGGTTTTGTTAATGGGTAAGAAATGGACAGCCCTTAGAATATATAATTTGCTATTTCTACCCAAACGACTGAATAGAGAAATTTAAGAAAGCAAATCGATGAATTGGGGCAGCATGATCACAGCCACAGGTGAAATAATATTGAACTGGAAGACTTTAACAGCAACGTCCCGAATGGCGAAGCTAGAACTGATCGGAAAGAGGCGATATTCTGTTTTGCGACTCCTGGGTAGGAAGGACGCTGGTTGTCGCTAAACACCAGGGAGCTCATAGTACATTTTAAAGGGGCGCAGCTCTTGTCTTAGATATAGATAAAGACTTAACAATAGGAACCACAAGGATTGCGCAGTAATGTCCTGGATTGGCCAGGTTCTCGACGGCTGAACACTTAGCGATTCACCGGATAATTGAATTCCCATTCATCGCTGGAACCAGGGCTAGAAGAAGGAATGCAGCCAACAAAGTTGAAAGAAGCTGATGGCCATAAAATTCCTTGAACGAACTAAAATTACTGGAGTCCCATGGGGTAGAGTAATAGGCAAAAGTGCAGAGTCCCTCGAAGAGGAGTACGGGTAAACGTGCGAAACGCGTTAATAACTACGTGTGAACATCTCAATGCCCAGACGTAGGATCCCAAAGGGGAAAAATCAGGTGTTTTGGTAGACAGGACTATTGCATAAGAGCTTCTTCGTCAAGCATGTTTTAAAAGCTAGAAGACTTGCAACAAGAGCTAAAACGGCCATTTTGCTGAGGGAAAATTACAAGACGGCCCGCAAAAGAATTAAAACGGAGATTAAGAAGAAAAAACAAAATGCTTGAAGGCTCAATTAAACGATGTGACAACGCATCCTGTGGAAAAGCGTACAAGATTGTCATGGGCAGATTTAAACATTCAACAACCGTGGGGCTAAAAGACACCGATGGTGAGAGGCAATTAACTTCAAAGACCTTTTCCTAGCAGAGAATGCTGGGTAAGGGCAGACCTTCTGACTCCTCTTCGACGAAGCCAACCGTTCACGAATGGACGAACTAGCCCAGACGATGAAGAAGACCAAGATTAGAACAGGCACCGGGACCTGACGGGAATTCTCAACAGCGATCCTGGAGATAGTTTTTAAAACGAATACCCAGAATGCCTTTTGAAAGCCTTTAAACACTGTGTCTTGAACAAGAGTGTAAAGGTAACAAGCCAATCGATTCGAAAGTCATCGTTCTCACCTTGGGCCTGCTGGATCGATGAGCCAAATTATGGAGGGTTTGCTGCTTCTACGACTAAAGAGAACATGTCATTTGTCAACGAGACAGTTGGATTTTAAAAAGGGACTCCTCGACAATAGACGCAATCACGAAGCAGCCCCACCATCCAGAAAGAGCAAAAAGGAATAAGAGTTTTTGTGCCTTGGTAGCGATGACATCAAAAATGCTTTCAATTTTGCCAGCTGGAAAGCACATCATCCAAGCCCTAAGTAGCTAGAGTCCCTTAATACCTTGTGAGGATCCTGGAGGAATGCCTCAGTGAGAGGACAATAATACTACATTATGGGTATAGCGATTGAGGAAGAACATGGCGTGCGGTTTCCAAGGGATCAAAGATTGGCCCCTTCCTGTGGAATACTCTATATGACGACCTGCCTGAATATCGAACTCCAAAGAACTCCAGTCTCATAAGGCTACGCCGACGATTACACTAATTATATGCTACTGTGACGTGGGACTACTGGAAATTGAGACCAACGAAACACTACGCAGGGTTAACGATGGTTGGACAAAGAAATCTCCAGATGCGCCGTTGCCAAGACGGAGTTTCGTGTTGATTACAAACCGCAGAGCATTCTGCCCCCCGGTGTCGACCGGGGAGGAACTTATTGGATGGAAACGGCCAATTACAAACCTGGGGTGGAAATTGATTCTCGATTGAGCTTCGGACGCCATATTATAAATATCAGCAGCAAAAGCTGCAAAGAGACGGGACTCAAAATCTCTCCAGACTAATGCTGAACTCAGGAGGCCTAGTGAAAGCAAAAGAAGGTTAATTTCTGCCGTAGTGCCACTCAAAAAATGCTGTATGCCGCCCATGTGGGCAGAAATGTGCCTAGCTTAAAGAGTGCATTCGATCGGGAAACTTACACAGATCCAGAGAAGATGGGCAGCTAAGGAAATCCCTAGGATAATCGCACGGCATCCGACAGTGCAGCCTTAGTAATGGCCATGTCCCGCCAGTGGACCTTTTAAGCCCAGGAAAGGAGAACAATGCTACCTGAGCGACGACAGCAGAAAAACAACAAACCGGTCACAAAGACAATTAGAAAACATCAGCGGAATTGAGAACGCATCTCACTGCACCAATGGCAAAACCAATGGGAACCTGGAGTAACAAATGTAGACGGGCACAGCCTCGTTCCTAACATCAAGGATGGGACCAGCAGGAACCATGCACAATGGACTTCTAACTTGACGCGCAAGCCTTCTCAGGGCAACGGGGAATTTTCAAGCATACTTATACAGATTTCAAATCGGCTGAAAAGCCGATATGTGCACTTAGGCGTGAGAAGACTACGACGCTTTGCCACACCATCATATGTTGAAAGCTTGGAAGAAGAAAGAAGAAACTGCTTACCAGCAAATTGCGACGGGGAATTAACGCTGCAAACAGAGCTCAGACTATGCTGCAATTTAGAGGCAACTGGAAAAACAGTGCGAGACTTGGGCTCACGTTACTAAAACAGACAGCCACTACGAAAGCAGAGAGAGCTAAAATACCATAGCGACCATCTGAAGAGGAAGCCTCATCGCTCTCAGCCAATCTTTGCTGCGGTGAAGTAATGTTCAACGACGCGTCCGCGCAAGAAGTACACGGCCATGTGAATCGAGGAGGTTTAGGTTTTAGCGGTTATGCCACGCTGGAGAGTCCGGACATAAAGGACTTATCGGTATGACGTAACGCATTTCCCCTCGACTCGGAAAATACAAAATATAATAATAATAATAATAATAATAATAATAATAATAATAATAATATATAATAATAATAATAATAATCTGTGTGTTGAGGGTTGCATTTGACATTAATATTTATGTTTTGTTCTTTTTATTCTTATTGCGATTTTTCCGATATTTTATGGGTCCATAAATTGGTCAGCCGTCTTGAGTTATAAAATGGTGTAACTAACCCAACTTTATTTTATAATACATATCGTTCACTCTCTCGCACAGCTTATGGCCCAATGAGGTCATTGTTAATATTTACTGTTATATACTCATTCAACAATTTGTCCACGCCACAGGTTAAAACTAGAGGAGCTATGACAGCACATAATTTCTCACAATATTATGAAGTTGTCATTATGAAATATGAGACAATTTCTGCCTTTCTTACGGCTATTCTTAAACCTCAACATCTCCAAAACTAAATTACAACATTTGGTAGATACTTAGATAGTATACTGATAAATTGTACCTTGAAAATCCATAACATCACATGAAACAGTACCACATGTAATTGTCTTATAATAGAGTATTACTAACCAAATATCTAGGTGTATATATAGACTGCAACTTGAAATGGGGTCAACACATATTAAAGATATCTTCAAAATACACTCTCTTATATTTATTTTCTTTAAATTGTCGAAAAGTTTCAATAGAAAACATTTGCTTATGATATATTATGAGTTCTTTTGGTCGATAGCCATGTACAGTATAATTGCCTCGGGAGAAGCCTACGAAAATGGAATTAAATCTCTACAAATGACCCAGAAAATGATTGTTAAACAATTTTTATTTTATGTAGGCATTATCCCTTGGAAGAATCGTTTAGGGAAAATATCATCTCTGTTAGAAAATTTATTCTTGAAAAATCAGTCCTAGAAAAGATCAACTATCTGTATGATATGCATGAAAAACTACAAAATGTAAGAAGAGTACCTATAATTATACCACCACTAATTAACAAAGAGATTGGTAAACGACATTATCAGCAAGCTGCGTGTAGATCATTCCACCTATTAAGTTGCAAACTAAGGAGACTACGTAAAACTCTAGAAGGGATAAAAAACTTAAGATTTCTCTTCCTTACTCAAACTCACTTTGTATAAAGCCTATAACTATGATTTGACTCATTACATAATTTAATGTAAGTTATCCATTGTTATTTTAAATGTAAAAATTCGGTACTTTTCATCATTTTATATGTGAAATTTGATACTTTTTATTCATTCTTTATTTTAAAAGTGATATTATTTTATGAGAAAATTGTAAATTTTATGCTCCTAGGTTTCAGGACTGTGTCCTCAGCGAGACACAAAATGTATATTTTTTTGTATTTGTGAAGTGCCTATGTTTGATACAAAAGTACTCATATTTAATACTCATACTCAATAAATACTCATTTTTACAAAAAATTGAACATAACCTTATTTGAAAGTTTGTTTCTGATGAACACATTTCATTGAGGAAAAAAAAAAATCTGTTATCTTAAATAATTTTCTTGTAAGAAGACACCCAAAAAATTTTGAATATTTTTGTAAGTTTTCAAAAATTCAGGGAATTCATCAAAAACGAGACTCGCGCCCTTCTTTGAAGCATCCTTTACACTACCTGACAACAAAATTTAATCAAAAAAATTTGCTGTCATTTTTTGCTGAAAATGTTCAGTGGCATCCAGTAAAATACCATATCACAGCATATCATTATTTAACAATACATATAAATGGCTGAAACGGCTTATTATTACTCATTTAAGTCCTCACAAAACTACCTTAGATGGCTGAACATAACTTTTCTCTAACTTCAAGCATTTACAGGCAATATTTTTTGAAGCTAAACAATTCAGAAAATAAACGATGTTCTTGACATTCATCAATAAACATAACTTCTTAATTTATAAGCAAAACTAGCTTCAACTCATTTTGTTAAATTAAAATGACAATCATATATGACTTCACTGACCTAGAAAGTTTCTAGCCATATGAGTTCTGGAAATCATACCTGGGCAGATCCCTTAGATGTTTTATCACAAAATCTTCTAATATCCAAGTCACAGGCTGCTTTCAGCTTTGGATTCAAGTCAATATTTTCACGCTGTTGGAGAAGCTGAGCTCGCAACTGTTGTCTACATTCTTTGGGAATATTATGCTTGTTCTCCTTAATTGTGTCATTTCGCATTATTTCACTCAAACATGCAATCACATCAGGTCTGGTAAAGAAAAAAGACAATAAATTTAATAAATGCAAGAAACAAAATTTCATTATTTCAAAATACATTTAAAAAAATTGACCTTACTTATTCTTTGCAGAGGGACAGAATCTTAAGACACTTGGTCGACAAGCTTCTTTGAACTTGTAAGTAAAATGATAATTTTTTAAAGAAATCAATTGAAAGTGTTCTACTGCAGCCCGACATTTGTAGTTAGATCGTACATCAGGTTCATTTTTATGCTCAATGAGACAATCCATAATGTCACCTTCATCTTTATCTGATTCAAGTTCGGCTTCACAATGGCGCTCCATAATTTTCTTGCACAAAGACATAATAATGGGATTCAATTCAACATGCTCAGCTTGGGCTTCTGTGAAGTTGCTGACAGCCATTTTGCAGTCATGACTCAATCTGGAAACAATAAAGAAAAAAAAATTATGATGTCCATATTAATGTAAGCTCCTATTAAAGGTCAAGTAAGGCAATCTCCAAGGAGCCTCCCTCATCCTTTTCAACATGCATTAAAGACTTGCCCTCAGTGATGAGATATGGTTAGGTTCTTTTATATGCAGATGATATGAAGATCTTTTCCCAAATCTCTCATGCGATGCATGTCGTCTGGAATCTGATTTGCAAAGCTTGAACAATGGGTGCCAGATTAATGTTATGGAAATCTAATCTACTAAGTGTTTCTCCCTCAACTTCTTGAGAATAAGTAATTTTCAAGTGTATTAGGACACAATACACAATAAGCCCTTGAAATCCGATAAATGAATCGCAAAAATTATTGAAAATCTCACGACCTATCAATGGTTCCAAAATTGATTCTTAGAATCATTATAATGTTCTTCAAAGGAGAGGTACAAATCCTTTTCACTTTCATTTTAAAAACAGTGGTAGAAACTATTCCTCTAACAACATCTTTAAAAAATATCTAATTTAGCACACCATTTGTACAATCAAACTTGAAAAGACAACTTGAAATGGATCTACATTTGAAAGCAATTACTCTCTTTGCATTTGATTTTCAAAAATTGTGGTTTGTAATTTATAAAAATTGTACTTAACCGACTCTTTGATTACATATCATGTGCTGTTTTCTTGTCAAGCATTTACAGTTAAATCATGAGATTTTATTGAAAAATTGTCAAATTCACCTGATTCATTGCACAAGCAGATTATTGGAAAAATTAAGTACATTAAATGTTGAGTTTTCCTTTTAAATTGTAGATAGATAATATATTTACTTCGCTTTGGGTGACAAATTCTTGCCACTTGCCCGGAGGCAAATTCTTGCCACTTATTTTACATCTAATACAATAAAGAACACAAAAATTCATAGCATACAAAGTACAATATTATTTCATTTAAGGAATGCCTATTAAATGCAGAGACCGTTCGCAGTCTACTGATCATATCACTTACAATATTACTACTAAAATTTAATCTAAACTGAAAGTCTTTATGTTTGTGAGAAAAGTCTCCATTAGTGCTGCAGGCAAGCTATTCCATGACCCAACAGTCCTATTAACAAAAGAGTATTTTCCAACCTCAGTTCTCGGTTTCCTTGAACATATTTTTCTAATATTGTCGTGACGTGCTTAGTACTCTGGTTCATGCATTGTTTCCTGAATTTCCCTCAATGCCGGATTATTCTCTAACGCTTTGTAAAATATACACAAGCTTTTTCCCTATGGCTCGCCAATGATTCCCATTTGTTGGAAATATTTCTGAACGAATTACCCCTTTTAACAAATTTTGCTGCTATTTTGTGAACTCTTTCGATGGAGTTTACTTGGCTCTTTCAATACAGATCCCAACATGCTGCTCTGTACTCTAATACCGGACGCACAATGGTTGTATATGTCAGTTCTCTTGATTTACTACTCCCCTTCCTTAACACTTGCATTACAAAGTGTAAAGGTTTCTACTCCTTCCAACAGTAAAGTTGATGTGCTCCCCCCCCATCCCTGTTGCTCATTTTATCACCCCTAGATGTTTACAACTAGTTATTATTTTTATTATTTATTAAATAATGGTGGCATCAACAAGCTGATTTGCAGATATCATACATAAAAAAAGTGGTAATTATAAACAGATAAAAGAAACAGTATATATCAACTCAGTTCGAATATAACACTTGAAATTTGCTAAATTATGGGTATCCCGAGCATGTTAGGGTATCCTTTTTGACAGTCGGCTGATAATGCATTCCATGCATTGACAACCCGATTGGCAATAAAATGCGTTCTCTGTCCTGTTCTCTTTTTTTCTTTTTGTGTCCACATAGTTTGGAATTGCTGGATCTCGTAAAGAAAGCATCATACCCTGGTATATTAAATGAACCATTCAGAATCTTATGTGTTTCTATCATATCATTCCTGATTCTTCTCTGTTCGAGTCAAAAATGTCATCATTTGGCATCTTGCTCAATAGTCTGCTTGACGAGCTTCTCTTGGAATTCTGGTGACTTGTTTGTGGTTGGGGGGCCATACCACATTGGCACATTAAGTAAAAGTCTTATATACATTGCGTAAGTTTTCTTTATATTGAATGAGTTCAAGCTGGAAAATACCTTTCTCATTAAATATAATGCCATGATTGCTCATCTGGTTACAGCACCAACTTGCCTTTCACACTTTAGATCCTGAGCGATAAGTACTCCCAAATCATTCTGTGGCGCTGTAGTGCCCAAGGTACATTCTGCGATGGTGCAAGGAAGCCTTGGATCTTCCTTACCAAGATGGAGAACTTTACATTTGTCAGCTTTCAGTGGAAGTTTTCAACCAGTTTTCTACTGTAACAAGATCTTGTAAATTCTGATGATCCATCAGTGAATTTGCAAAAAGCTTAGAATTGTCCGCATAGCAGTTCCAGTTAGCAGATAGTCCATTTTCAGATAGCATGTGTACAAGACAAATAGCATTGGTCCCAAACCGGACCATTGAGGACCACCACTTGTAACATGTCGAGATGTAGACATCTCTTCTTTAATACTCTCTCGAAATGTCTTACTTGAGAGCTATCTCAGATCCATTCAAGCAATTTTCCCTGTATCCCCAATAATTCTAATTTTGCAATTAATCGTTTTGGGGAACTTTATCAAATGCTTTCGCATAATCTAATAATATTACTTCCATACGTTCCCCATGATCCCTTGCCTTACCCCAAACAACAAGCGAGCTAATCAAATTCATGGTTGTTGATCTACCAGGGCCAAATACACATTGCTATTTGGGGATTAAATTATTTCTACCAGCATGATCATGAAGTCTCTGAACTATTATTCTTTCCATAACCTTCCCAATAGTACTAGTCAGACTTATCAGACTGTAATTTTCTGGGAACTGCTTATCACCTTTCTTGAATACGTAACTACAGCTTCTTTCTATGTGGAAGGTATTTTGGCAGTATTTATGACTTTTTGAAAAATCTATGAAGCACTAGAGCTAAATGCGTTGCATATTTCTTGCGATAAACTCTCGGAATGCCATTGGGACCAGCCAAGGACAAGTAATCTTTGAAGTGTTTGAGATGTTTCAATATTTGTAAATTCAATATCTTCAATTGGTTCAGTATAATTTTGTCTGATGTTTCGTATCAGATTATGGTGGTCTGTACACTCCCCTGATCGTGAATTGTAGTATCCCAATCTTCAATCTCAGCCATAACACTTCTACATCATGATCTTCAAAATCAAGCATCATCATGACTCATACTACCACTGATCCAATTTTCTGTCTCGCATAAATCAGAACTCCTCCCCGTATCTATCTGGTCTATCCCTGCGATAGATAGAGAAATCAAGAGCATGATTCGAAGTATACGAAACATTTGTATTAAGCCAAGATTTTGTGACTATCATGGCATCTGGTAGTACAGAGTTAACTTCTGAGAGAAATTGGTTGAACTTCGTATACAAAATTTTAGGGTTAATTACTCGTTGCTGCTGCCCCATGCGATTTCCCTTTCCCACGAACAATATGTGGGTTACCTCTAATATACATGATAACTAGATTCAGATTCAATTTCTGTTACCTGTGGAATTATCTTGCCCCAAGTAAATACTTAGCTGTCCCTTTACTTCTACTACACATAAAACTATTTTGTATTTATGCACTAAAACTAACTATTT